GTGGGGGGGGGAGGGGTGAGGAAATGGCGAAGATGTCGAAAATATTGATATCAAGATTATGTAATCACTGATCTGGTTTGTGCTACTTTGCCTAATGGTATTACATGGTAGATCCAACGGTCGAGGTAATGGAACTAACTTATCAAAATCATGCGATATTTTCCTAAAAAGTTCATTCATTTCCTTATTGTAGAAGAGCTAATTATGTCAATGTTTTCTTTAATTCTTAAGAGTGGTTCATTTTATTATTTGCACTTAGTTAAATTTGATGTTGATATTGAAAAAAAAAATACTTTGTGCATTCGCAGCTCATCATTGTGAATGATCCGGATTTGGTCCTATTCGTTGGTGAAGCATTGGTTGGTAACGAAGCAATCGATCAGCTGGTCAAGTTCAATCAATCTCTTGCTGACTACAGCAACACTGCCAAACCCCACACCATTGATGGTATTTTGTTGACTAAGTTTGACACTATTGACGACAAGGTGAGTTGACAATTCTCCCTCAATAAATTTATTTGCTTCATCCATTTAAATATATTATTCCTATCGATTACTTTTTAGGTGGGAGCAGCGGTCTCCATGGCCCACATCTCAGGTCAGCCAATCGTGTTTGTTGGAATTGGTCAGACATACTCGGATCTACGTCAATTTTCTGTACCTAGTGTGATCAAGGCTCTCATGAAGTAGTTCTCTGTCAATTTGCTGTCTCAATATCATAGAACTTATTTTTGATTGGTCATTTAATTTCCACTTCTTCTCCCAATTCTCTTTCTTTGTGTGTGTGTGGTGTGTGTGTATGATTGTAGTCTTTCGTATTTGGCCATTAAATTGTCCCTAGTATATTTGCTTCTTTTATCGATCTTGCAATTTAAGAAAAAACCTGTTAGGCATATACCCTTCTAAATTTTCAACCTCCGCCACACACCTGCGTCCTATGTTAAACAAACAGGAGTTTTTTGGGTTAATTATTTATCACCATCAGCATTTGCCTATGTTGACAGGATTTTACGTGCTGTCTCAAATTTTCCTCTGTAAAGTTATGTGGAGTAGATCCCGTAAATCACCGCTCCCTCTACCGGTGCATTCAGTCACTCTAATGTCTTCAATTCAAATCAAATTGTGGAACTCTAACTTGGCCGGTCGCTAAGCTAAAGTGGGAGGAGGGGGGGGGGGGGGGGGGGGGGGCTGGGTTAAGTATCCAGGCCAAATCCATAATTAATTTTATCAAGTGGCAGTCTTCGTGATACTACTTATCATTAGACCCTTATTTGACTTCGGTCTTCTCAAAGGGAGGGAGGGGGCGGGGGGAACATGCATATAGGTTTTAGGGCAGACAAAAGTAGCTCAAGAGTTGGATTCAAGCCTCCCAGTATCTCATGAACAGAATGTTGGAATTTTAGAAATTCTTTGGACTGAAATTTTGCTAAACCTTGCTCCAGGGTTTGAGTCAGTAATAAAAACGAGAGCTGTAGCTTTTCATCATTGGTGGCTGAAAAGGGAAAAGTAGTAAGCAAGTTTCTTCATTTGGTTGAAACTTAAATGCATTTCCACTTAGTGATGCACTTTAAATTTGTACGATTTATTTCACTTGTGCAATGAGATAAGCCCTTGACATGGTGATGACTATTATATTTTTCTGCATTTGAAATCAATCAATTTTGTACCGTTGTGTAACTTGTGGGGCATGCAACGTCATCAAGGCTGGCCAAAGGAACCTCATGAGTACTCGAACATTCTGGAGATTCCAATCAGCAATACAGACCAAACATTGTGGAATAATATTGACTAAGAACGTTGAAAGTCTTCCAAAAAGGAAACAACATAATAAATGTTTTCAATTAATCATTTTATGCTCGCACTACCTTGAAAGTAGTGGGGTGTGCGATAGACATACATCCACGTGGTGCACCCTGGGCAACGTAACTCATAAGGCAAAAAAGTCTATAAATCGGGAGTTTACTTCTCACTTCAAACTACCATGACTCCACTGTATTTAATATTCGACTACACATCAATTTTTTTCATAATTTTCTACCTTCGTCTTTGAAAAACTCTTCTGTCCCCCCCCCCCGCCTCTCGACTTTTTTCACTTTTATGTTCCTTCCCCTCTGTGAAGCCTGAAGTCAACTAAAGGACTAATGATAACCATCAAAACGCCTGCCATTTGATGTAAATAAATAAATAAACTTTGAAGGTAGTCTTGACAATTT